TTCATCTTTTTTTTTTTTTTTGTCATTTAGCTCCGACTTAAAACTATGCGTCAATTGTGCGTAAAACTCGCGCGTAACGCTCCTTCTTTCTCTCATCTCACACGATTTTATTGGCGCCGTAAAAGCGCAATAAAACACATAAGAAAAGACTTACCACCACGAGTTGGCGTCCACCACTAACAACTGCGAGGTTCCGGCGAGGAGGGCGACCAGCAGCAGGAACAAGTGCCGAACCCCGACCCCTTTGCGGTCCATGATTCGCCGCCCGCTGCCGGGGAAAGTGCTGCGCTGTTGAGACATGCGCGCGGTTGGGATTTGACTTCTTTGAAAGGAGTCCAAGCGAGCACAATCACGCGGCCGTCATTTAAAAAATAAATACATACATAACTAAATAAATAAAAGCCCGATAAGTCAAGGGGTGACCCGAAGATAGAAGCATGGGGTCGCTATAGGTCCAATCAGGGCACGCGCAAAGCCGGGTTGGTTTTACGCATTAAACAAAAAAAAAAAAAGGAAGGAGAGTCGCCCAAAATGTCATCCAAAAGAAATCAAATCAAAGCAGCGATGATGCTGATTGGAAAAAGTCACGACAAATGCGTCGCACGTCTTCGTCCCTCCACGACCACTTCACCTCTCTCCTCCGAATCCTGCTCCGTCTCACCCCCTAATTCACCTCTGAACTACCCCCCCCAGCCCCCCTCCACACAAGCTCCCCTTCCCTCCCTATCCAATTCCCACCCACTTCCCCTCCCAGTTTTACGACCTGGCGTCGCGCGAGATTGGATGCAAAGTGGAACGCGGGTTTGAATATTCCAAGCTGTCGTTGGCTTTGCAATTCGTCTCTTTGTCACGCTTCCCAGACGCATCCTTGATTTGTCAATTAAAAGTCAACTCCCAAAGACATCTTGATATGTCTTTTCAGACTCCACACTTTTTTTTTCAACACTTAGGGTTAAAAAAGAAAAGAAAAGGGGGTCTGAAAAAAACCCCGAAAGGCTTTTGTCACGTGCGTGGGTAAAAGGAGCTCGGGTGCGTCCAAATGCATCCGATGATGCAGAACCACGCCCACACAACAATCAACCCATGCACACGCGGAAGTATTCAAGTGCGTCCACCTCCTCCGACATTTTCATTTAATTCGTCACGGGTGTTGTTTTCACGATAAAGCTCATCCCGCTTAGTAGGAGAACAACACACACGCACACACACGCGCTACACAGTTAGTGTATACGTGTGCGCGTTGCTATGACAACATCGCCACCGCCTGGAGGAACACGGAAGACACGAACTTGGAACAAGCAGGTCACAACATTCGATCCCTTCGACGGGAAACGGAATTTTCGGAATAATTCAAGGTTCAGGAAGGACTTTATAATGTTTTATTATTTTTTAAAAATTAGCACCTGCAGATGTGGCTGAATGCAGAACAGAGTTTTTATCATTCACTTATTCACCACCCGCCAAAAAAAAAGAAAATGCATCCCTGAGGGCATTTTGCACAACACAGCGAGCTGTTGTGGATGAGCTGCAACGCTCACTTACAACCACAAGGGGGCGCAGGCTAGCCACGCTGCCTGGAGCCCACCACAGCAGAGGAGGGGGTGGGGGGTGGTGTAGTGGAGGGTCGGGACTCGGGAGAGCAACTTAGGCCATGTGAGCTAAATAAAAAATTAAAAAAATAAAAATAGGAGGAGGAGGAGGAGGAGGAGGGGAAACAAGAGAGAGGATGAAAGTGAGAGAAAGGGTTGCTCCCTGGAGGTTATGAGCAATCGCCATGCAACAGGGAGCAATGCCGGAAAAAAAAAAAAAAAGCCCCAACAGCTCCACTGTGGATTCAACAGCAGCATCACAGTCAACACTGCAGCATTGTGTTGACTCGCAATGACCCGACTGTGAGGACAATGACCTGCAAAACGCTTTCCCAAAGATTATTTCCGCTTGCAAACGCCGCCTCAGAGTCCAGTCTCACCTTTACGGACCCATCTGGTCACCTCGTAAACATCTTCCGCGAAGCAAAAGCCGTAAAAGGACAAACGGTGAGTGAAGGAGGACCGGGTTGCAAAGGCAATGTCTTCCGTTGATTTGGCAACCAGTCTCCCAATCAGAACCCCACCCCTTTGAGCCGCTCTGAGAGGTGAAAGGTCAGGGGTCGGATTCCGTGCGAATAAATCAGTCGACTTGCTCGCAAACAACTCCTTTGGATCGACTTTGTGAGAGCACACACTGGCATATATTCTTGATCCTCTGCCAAGAACGTTATTGGCAGTTTATGGAGGAATTTTCTTCTTCGTGTATGTCCGTGTTATACATTCTGATTAATTTGCGACAGTTCGGCTTTTGGGCTTGGGTTTTGTGGGTTGTTGTTTTTTTTTTTTTTTTTTGTATCACGCATGCTCCCCTCCTCCTGCCGACTTCCCTCCATCCGTCTCCTCTCCTTCATCCATCCTTCCTTCAGTCAGCTGGCAGAGGATGAGTCATGCCTCCCGCTCGGAGGCTCAAACTCTCTCCCTCTCTAAATATATCTTGCTCTTCACTTCTCTCCGCACCTCCTTCTCTCTGCATCTTCATCGGCACATCTCTCGCTCTCTTTCACCATCTGTCTTTCCACCTCCCCCGCTACAAAGCGATTCCTCGCACACCTTTTTTTTGTTTCGTCTTTTTCTTTTTATTTAGCTCTCTCCGCCACGGTCTGAAAGTGAGAGTGACATTTCTATTTTCTTCCATCCGTCCGTCTCTCAACCTCTCCTCGCAAGGGCCACATGTGCATGCTGCGTGTTCGCCCCTCCCTTCGCTTTAACTGTGGGAAAATGTAAAACAAGACCACCCGCTTGTCCAACACGGGATCTGAAGCAGTAAGAAAAAAAAGAACACACCACCCCCAGAAAAAAAAAAGTCCGGACAAAATATTGTCAGTTTAGATTTTCAGTCAAAGTTGAATCAAGGCAACTGTAGTCTTCTCATTGATTGATTTTTTTTTGGGGGGGTTTCTAATTTTTTTTCACATCCAAAGATGTGCAAATATGATTTGGGAAGCTAGGCTAATACGCTAACTGTGCGAAATGTGTGGAGGGAGAACAACAGCAACAAAAAAAACATTATTTACCTCAATATAAAACAAAGAGAACAGAAGTTATGAAACTCTTCTTCATTGGTGTCAGCATGGCTGCACTCTACTGCTCCCTGGTGGCCAAATCGAACACACCAGAATGCAATGATCTGGTGGATCTGTCATTTCCCTCACTTGAAATAGGATCACTCGTCGACCGAAAAAAAGCGTTTCTTTTCCGAAATTGTTGTTCGGCGGTGTCCCTAATGAACTGTCCAACGCCTGATGGAGACAACAAAAGACATGACGCTGAATGTAATTGTGTCAACGTGCGGATAGCGTCTGCGCTCAGCTTGCTGCCAACAGTACGCGGTGGAGCCGGCCCACTTTGGCACCTCGGCAGCCTCAGCTATACGCCAGGCCTCATTTGGCACCTGACTGGAGCCTTGGGAGAGGCCGAATCCCTCAGCAGGAAGACCCAGCAGGGGCACCGAGGCTGGGCCAGATTGCCTGATTTCCCCCCGGTGCCCTGGAGCTCGGGCGGTCAGACTACAGCGGCCTCGTGAGCCCTTCCCTGGAGAAATTAATAACACACACGAACACACACCATTTCCATCACTTCACAGGGAATCATATTGCGTTGCATTCATTTCCTGCGGGATTACCTTCGAGCAACACTGTAGCCTAACTTAGCGAACCTTGAATTTTAGCCATTGAACCCCAAAGCAGCTTTTCGTCCCAAATTGAACAGGCTGTTCCCAATTAGCCAGTTCTTTAGTCAGATATTCATCCCTAAAAGGCGACAAAAACAAATCACACAAAGAACCTGCCAAATCCCAGGTTCTCACTTTCTTTTGTTCCTCCCGCCGCTCGAATGTTCATTTATTAATTTTATTTTTTTTCAAATTCAATGTCGGGATGCAGACTTCACACGCACGCCGCGTGTTTCCGAAAAGATCAATTATTCAGGCGTTGGCTACAGTTGTCAACAGAATAAGTCCTCGTCTCTTTGTGCAGTGGGCCTAAAACAGACACAGGTGGATCTGGATAGAATCCGCCGAACTATTCCCCAACAGATTTACTGTAAAAATGTCACATTTGTTCCACGGAACATTACAACAAAAGCACTCGGTAAATTTTGGACTTTGATGTGATTGTTTAAATGACTCATCTACATATTTTGCTCTCCTCCCTCCCAGTTTAGTAGATACTGTGTACCTGTATTTCATTCCGCACTGCCCAGCCACTTCATTAGGTACACCTGCATGGAGCGATAGGGGGGAAAAAAATCCGCCGTATGCGAATTGTAAAAGGTGGAAACGAGATAGATGAGCACACACAGTCATGCGCATGCCAACAGATGACAGAGTGCATTGACAAAAAAAAAAAAAAAGGCAAAATGCTGACTACTGAGGGTGAGAGTGAGCGTGCGGCTGAAAAATCTCCGATGTCAGACTGCAGAGCTGGCAGAAAGCAAAGGCATTGCTGAGGACACACACACACCTTGGAGGCCTGCATGTTGTCAAAGCATGTGTCGGAACACACACACACACATACACACACACACACACACACACACACACAGCCTGTGAGGCGACGTAGCGAGACGAGCTGTCAGGGCAGGCAAGGAGAGAGGAAGTGTGCAGAAAGAAGGGAAGAAAAGCATATTTGGCAAAAGCCTGCAGGAATGACCCCATGCTGTCCCTCAACGTTCATCAGTGGTGGGAAGTAGAAAAACTTTCTTACTGTACTGTACCTAAGTGTATACCCACATTTGTTTTTCTGAACTGTAATGACAAAACACAAAGGGTGGAGGGGGTGGGGGAAGAAGAGGTCACGCGGCAGCTTGGTTATGACGAGATGCTACGAAGAAGCGGAAAAGCACCGCGGCTCCGCCGCTCTGAGCGCAAATGAAGTTTATGATGAAGTAAGTGTCAGCAAGCGTCTCATCTCGCCTCTTATTGATGCTGTGCCGCAGACGGCTGGGAAATATCGCATCAAAACGCGGCTGAGGAGAGCTCTAAGCGTGAATTTGACTTTGTTGCGCCGGGTAAAATGAAGATATCTGGCGTGAAATTAAGGTTATATAGTCTACTTTTTATCCTCTTTAACATATGCAGGATAACACACACACAGACATATATATATATATATATATATATATATATATATATATACATATATATATATACATATATATACATATATATATATATATATACATATATATAATATACTATATACTATGCAAAGTTGTAGTTAAAAACAAAGAGAACTACACAGCGGAAATTCCGCTTGCGTCATACGAATACGCAATGCAAAACACGGAAGAGAGGCTAACGAAACTAGCTTCGATATTACTGTTGTGACAAGCCTTTCAGTTCCAGATACTTGAACACAAACAATGAAACACATACTCAAAAGCACATAGTTTTTATCCTTTATATTACTACCGCACACATATTTTTTTTTAAGTTGAAGTGGTTCTTAAACGACGGGATTGTAATTGGTTAGCTAGCGCGCTAGCATGCTGATAAATTTTCCATTGGCAATAAAGAGCACTGCCCTCTTGTGGCATGGAGGATGAACAAAAAGAAAGAAAGCATCCCATATCTTTGAGGCCTCAAGACAGATGCCGCTTGGCTTTTTGAAAACATCTTTTGCCCCACGAGACGTCGGACGGGTGTCAGGGGGTTGGGAAAAAAATAACAGCCCAAAAGAGGAGGTGAGAACAATAAGAGTGCCGTACTTTGAACGCAACTGCTGGCCCCCATACGTGCGAGTGAGCACTGTGCAAGGTGGAGCAAGGAAACACCACAAAGCAACATAAAAGATGTATCACACACACACACACACACACACACACACACACAAAGTTTCGCGGCATCAATGTCACTGTCTGCTTTCACTTTCATATCATCCCCTCTGCTGCGCATGGATGTGTGCGTGGAACAGACATGGTAATATTCACTCAGGTAGGTGTCAGCTTTCATTGGGGCGGGAGTGTGTGTGTGGGGGGCGTCATGTTGACACACGCCCGTGTCGCCTTGGCAACCAGCAACAATTATCCGCTCACGACCCTCCCCGTGATTCATCAACACGTCGGGTCGCACATGTACCGGGCCGTGCATACATCAGCACTTAACACGCTGGCATGACACGACTTGTCAGACTTTGGGGAGGTGCCATCACACACAGACATACACACACACACACACACACACACACACACAAAGCATCTCCAGAAACATCACGTGACTGCTTCTCCCTCCTCATCCCTATTAAAAATACTCTTCTTCCTCCCATCACTGCTTATTTCCCTGCTCTCTTCCCCTTCTCTCTCGCGCAGTGTGAGTGCGAGCATGGGCCCAGCAGGCAACAACACACACGCACACACACACACACATACACACACACACACACACAAGCAGGCAGGCAGCAGGTCATGCTGAGGCTCAGCGCTTGCTGCTCAACACTGAGCCTGTGGCTTTTTGTCCCACCTCCCTCTGTGTTTTCATCTCCTCGGTCTTCTCTCCCTGTTACCTCCGCCAAGGAATTGCAATCCAATTCAAATAGGTTCATTTTCAGATTTTTTTTTTTTTATTGTGATTGGTCTGACCTGGTGTCATCAGTGATTTTTTTTTTCATCAAGAAATTTAAAGAGTTGGAAAATAGCTGGAGAAATATCTTCCCGGGGGTGCCGTGCTGCATTATGTAGCCTTAAGTTAAAAATAGGTTCGGTATATTTGGGAAAGCCTGTTTGCTGAAAAATGGATAGCTGCAAGCTTTCGGTGCAGAAGGAAGCGGTCAGCCACGAAGGTACATTTGCATGAAGATTTATTTTCACCCGTTGCACTGCTCATTGTTGTATTTAGCTCAATGAGTGATTTTGTTTGCCGTAGCACATGAGCTTGTCATTTTTTTTTGTTCTGACACAGATGCAAAATTAAATCGCTCAACCCCGCCGTGGCTGTTTTTCCATTCCCCCTTTGAGCCTCACAAATATCCCATTTGAGTCCCCGGCTGCTGCGCGGGAAATGATCAGTCGCGGCATCTAAATGAACCGAGCCCAAGGGTGAGGCTAATCCCATCATAGTTTATGACCACGCCTGGCAAACCCGCTTTGGTTTCTCCCGTGGAAACTTTGCACGCTAACCTGGCGCCGCGCGTGCTGTCAGTCAACCGATGCTTAGTATTCACATCACGACGGCGTGCTTTGAAAATGCATGACACATACAGCGGATGGCGTGGCCAGGTGTAGCAAGGACGTGCTGTAGGTGTCGGTCGCCGCGAGGGATTGCTTTTTTTTTTTGCCCTTGATGACGCACTTGGGAGAAAAGGGCAAAGGACGTTTCTATTCGTCTCGCTTTCTTGATTATAGTGATGAATTATTGTGTTCGGGGAAATATAATTCACTTCAAACTGATCCTCAAATACATACGTTTAATACAAACATGCAAATAGCAACGGTGACATGTTAGCCAATGGCTGCTACGTTGGTCGTATGACAGTGGGTGACGATAAAACGAAATGTTACCGGTTCAAAGCTTTATAATTTGGATTGTACACAGAATTAGGTGGCGAATATTTGAGTGGATACGTCGCAAATTTCCCGCCGCTTTTCAATCCAGAACGTGTTCATTGACAATTGAAGTTTTAGCGCATTAATCAAAATGTGTACATCCGTGCGCTATCCGTATTTTGTTCACGATTTTACACCTGTTATTGACCTGACACGCCACGACTGGTTTTGTCGGCCAAATTCCAGATTTTGTCGCGTCCGTTTTAATCCTCACCTGATCCCTGTTCTCGATTTCACCCTACTTCTACCTTTCCCATCAGCTCTTCCTTCCCCCCCGGCCCCCCCTTCGCCCGCTCTCAAGCACTCGGCCACACTCCACTGGCTTCAGCAAACGGCTCCCCTGTCATATTATCTCTCACGCACACAAACGCACGCACGCGCACGCACGCAGTGGGGCACATGCAGGCACAGGCACCGGCATATGTTCCTCTGAATGAATGGTCTATGCACATGCACATGCGTGGAGATAACACACACACACACACTCGGAGTCCAAGGTTACACTGGTGGGTAAGAGGGGCCCCATTGGAAGGGGAAAAAGTTGGACGGCGCCGCTCGAAAACATCTCGCGACACACACTTTTTTCTGTTTTTTTTATTTTTTTTAACTGAATTAATGATGAATGTCATAACTTAAGGAAAGCCAGCTGCGAGATGACAAAACAGCTTCAAAGTGATGATGCTGCGCCTTAATAAAAGACACATGAGAGGGGTTTTTTTGGGTTTTTTTTTTACAGTTTAGGGATTAATTTATCGCCTCAGTCAGTCTCTTAAGGACAGTGTTGCAATTTAAACTTTAGTTGTTTTTTTTTTTCGCGCCACATTTGCACACATAAAGAACCAAAATTAAATTCATATTTACTGTACAGGCTAATGTAGTCCTCCTATTTTTTTCGCGGATTGTGATGCACATGAAATATTTCACTGTACAGGGCTGAAAATGACTGTAGACTTGAATGAAATAATGAAAAATGACAGCCTTTGATTGAAAACAGACCTCTTTGAAAACAAGATCAGTCAACCAATGGAAACACCACCGCAGAGCCTCCTCTGTGGCTTCAAAGCAAACAGCCCAAAGACAAATAATTGAAAATGTGGAATTTCAAACGATTTCAGTTCAGATTTACATCGGCATTTTTCAGTTTGCTGTTGCATGCGTGCAGAACGTCCGACTTCACTGTACTCTCTTCTTTGCTCGTTTTGAAGGACGATTT